AATATATATATATATATATATATATATATATATATATATATACACACACTACCTCTGAGTATGTACAACTCAGTGTTGTATTCTACACATGAACAAAACAAGTAGAATTCTATTAAATATGACACAATCACACCATATAGGAGAGCTATACATGCACCCTATGGCATGTGGGGTTTATTCATATTATTTGAACATTTAATCAGCCCTTAAAGTCCCCATGAAATCAAAATTAAGAGCTATTTGAATTCTACACAGAATGCTATATTTTATAGCAATATGGATACGATTGTGGCTGGCATACCCTGTCAAATGCGGCTTTACTGAGCTCAACGGCTCTGAGTCCGAACGGCTCTAGCCCAAGCTGTGATATAAACGAACGCTATTGGCTATTTTAAAAAGGGGCGGGGTTGCTTGATATGTCTCGCCCTGTCTTCCTGTTTCAGTTAAAATGACGTCAACACATAGAGTAATGCTGCGTGTTTCTAAGCATTTCAGGGGACCTTTAAGAATATCTTTATAAAGTGCTGTTGGCCTATGAAGTCTTAACAATCCAGCTGAATCAACAGACAGAGCAATAGAAAGACATGACTGTATAATAACTGTAATCAGCAGATTAGGGAACTTCTTTTGAATGTTTCCTGCCAACACACATTGTGGTCTGCTGTGAAAATAATAATAAAATCATGCCATGCCATACCAAGATAAAATACACAGCTGTTAATTGCTGATGCTTTCAGTTGGGCTGAAATAATCATACAGCTTCTAACTAACGGGTCTGTACCGACCATCAGCATCCTTTGACTGAAGGGTCACGTGTAGAGAAGCACAAGTGAACTATGTGAGTACAGACGACACAGCTGTACAGTATAGTATATACGTATAGAAAGAAAACTCTATAGAAAATGTGAAAAAGAAAGGTTTATTTTTCTGAGAAGTCTTGAGTTTGGATGAAATAGTCCACTGAAGTTTCAAGGAAGAGGTGGATGTTATACATAATGAGTGAGAGGTAAATGATTATGATATAATAAAGTCTTCTTGTTTTACAAGAACAAAAGCCCCAAAACTATGGCCATAATAAAGTCTGGTTAATAATATATGTGTGTATACACATATATATATATATATATATATATATATATACACACACACTATTCAAAAGGTTGGGGGCAATAAGATTTTTGTAAACAAATGTATTAAGCAAGGTTGTGTTAAATTGATCAAAAAGACACATATAATGTTACACAATATTTCTATTTCAGATAAATGCTGTTCTTTTGAACTTTCCTGAAAAAATGTTATTAATATTTTCCACCAAAAAATATTAAATATTTCTTGAGTAGCAAATCAGCATATTTTAATGATTTCTGAAGGCTCATGTGACACTGAAGACTAGAGTAATGACTGCTAAAAAATTCAGCTTTACCATCACAGGAATACATTTGTACTGTATTTTTGTCAAATAACTGCAGCCTTGGTGAGAAAAAGACCCTTCTTTCAAAAACATGATAAAAAAACTTACTTAAATCGTAAACCTTTGAACAGTAGTGTGTGTGTGTGTGTATATATATATACACACACATACTTTTTTTTGGTCTTGGTATTGTACATCAGTGCCATGGGTATAGGAAGCTGCACATTGAACTGTACATCCCATGAATGTATCACCATGCCACTTCACAGTATTCTATATTCCCATATTTCCATTTTCCAGATTTAGCTAGTCAAATACTATGTGATTCAGTATTTTCAATTCTTGTGTAGTTCGGGAAAGGAGCCAATACTGCTACATGCTCGATTGTCACAAACTAGTTTTGCTTTGTTGCACAAATTGTACTGAATTTGTTTCTTTGCATGGTCTTAATCTCTTTCTGTTTATGCCCTTTATTTTGAATGTAACAATTAATGTTTCGGTTGTTTCAATAACTATTAATCGGATTGGTTATAGAGGAGCCTTTATATCTTTCTGTTCTATTTGTGTTGTAGCATTTTTCACTCATTGTAAATGTTGTACAGAAACTAGTTAATATTTGTATTGATGTGCCACTCATCAACCTTAATGAATAAAGGAAAGGCTGTCTTTTATACAGTTTTATGAGAAAGTTACACATGCAACTATGTAATGTAACAATCATTTGTAACTGTTGAAATGAAGTGACATCACACCGTACTCATCAGTGCTGATGTCACAGACGAGACTCGTTCTTCATTATCAATGTAAAGAAAGGAAATTTGATTTCGAGCAGTCGGTGATTGCAATCTTCTGAAGAAACGCCCATATTAAAACCTTATTGTTTCATATAATTTTCCAATATTTTTTCATGTAAATTCCCAGCAACAGTGTCATTTTTGCACATTTTAAATTATACATGTACTGTGTCGGTGTCCACTGTAACAGGTTAGATGTAACAGTTTTTATGTGGGCAATGGTTTTCGCAACCTTTTTTTGTTTACGCCTTTTTTGTTGTTATAGAAAAACATAGACTTTTTTTGTCCAGTGTGTGGGGATGTAACTAGTTTACTCTTACTCATTTATATTTACACAAGTAGGAAAGGACAAATGAAAACAGCTTTCAGAAAATTCAATAATAGTTTAAAAGCCTCAAGAATTATGACAAATTTGAAATGCAAAATAAATTACTTGTTTTGGCATGACTTGAAATGACAAGAGTATTTACTTTTTTGTCTTCTCTATCAGTTTTTAACACATGAACAGATCGATTTTAATTTGGAAACAACTTTGCCTGCTTCAGTAAGCACACAATGTAACTTTGTCTTCATCTAGTGGACAAAGCCTGCAACATAAGAGGCCAGGATTAGAGGATAAATGTAAGAAAACAATATAAAAAATAGTAATTCTGTGGATAATCACAAGAATTATATATACTCTTAATAATATACAAACTCTTAATAATATACAAATAGCATGAGAGAGATTTATCTTCATTGTTAGACACTTATTTTCATATAGTGTTATTTATTTATATGAAATTATGAATAACATCATTTTGTTCCCCATGACTTGTTGAACATTTTCAGGACAAACTTTGCTGTCATCTGTTCAAAACTGCTGAAAATTACACAATTTTAAGATGAGTAATGATTATATCTCCCCTACTGCGATACTCAACTTTGTTTATTTTTTTCATATTTCGAGATAAAAACAAATCTGTGGTTCTTTTATGTGTGTCACTCCGAAAGACATTACATCACACTAAAGGACAGAAACTGTAGTTATTGCTTTAAAGAGAAGGTGAGAAGTATTACATTAAAGTATTTCTATTTAACTTTGAACGTCAAAGGAGAAAGTTGAATTTTGATACAAACAATATCAACATGTTTTTTTAAACTAAACAACATTTTCGTCAACAAAATTCAGTCACTTAGTCAATCAGTATGTTACTGAAACTCTTCTAGAGCCTCCCCGCTGCATGTGCGGCACAGCTAAATATGATTGATATTCAAACTATTCATTAAGATGTGAACAATTTTTTTTTTAAGTATATGGCTGCTCTTTTTCATGCATCATTTTGATTCCATTTACTTTCTGCATCATTCTCTTAGGATGTCCTCCCATCTGTTTGGATCTCTGTTAATTTTCTCTATATATTTCCGTGTCCTCTCTCACTCGATTCTTTCTGTCTCAAAAACAAAGTATTACATTTTATACTTATTTTCATGACACTATATAACTATATAATTATCAGAAAATATTTTAATGTAATTACTACATTTAATTAAAAAATTTTAGTTTTTAATTAAAAAATATAATTTAGGGGTGTTGCACCAAAGGACAACAAAACGTAAACTTTTTTTCCAAATAAGTTAAATGTTTGAACAATTCTGAGACAAAAACTTATTATGTACACATATGAGCTAAACGGGGCTTCAGTAACATGACCTTGAATGGGGTCCTTCAACTAATTAAAGTTGTCTGTGGAATTGTCCAATTTAAAATCAGGATATGGTGTCACACCAGAGGACATGGTTTTCATTGACAAAATGTACCAAGTTTAGAAATATATGGATGAAAAAAATTATTGCCATTTACTAAAATAGACACTTCTGAAAGGTATTTATTAACATTTTTATGATT